GGCTGCAGGTTGGGAGTTTTGCGGTTGCGGGAAAATTCGCAGCAGGAGAAAAACTGACGGCGGCTGCAAAAGAAAAGCAGAGATTTTTTTGGGTTTTGTGCAGCCCCTTATTTGGTTTTTTGTGCTTTTGAGAGATATATTTTGTGAGGGATTTGAGAGAGTTTGTTTGAAGGTTTAGATTGAGTGATTGTAAACCCTAGTTGTATTATCTCCCTCTATTAGTAGATCTCCCCCCTCATTGCCACGTGGACGTAGGCAATTTGTCGAACCACGTAAAATTGGTTGTATCGCTATTTGTGTGATTTGTAATAGCTTTTAGGTTCCCTCGACGCGCAGTCCTAGAGCTGACGAGAGGAAGAGCTAATATCCCACTTTGATGGGATATTAGGCTTCAGATTCTTGTTCCCTTTGAGAAACAAGAATTCTTATTGCGACCTATCTCTTGTTGTGCTGCCGAAGTGCTGCCGAAATTTCCGCTGCGCGTAACAGCAAAAACCCCAAAAAAGCCACCAAACGCAACAAATAAAATCACATAAGATTTAACATGGAAAACCCTCAAGAGGGAAAAACCACGGGATCAAAATCAATCCACTATCACCTCCAAATTACAATCTTTTGCACGGACAAAGGCTGCCAAAATCTCTCTCTCTCTCTCTCTCTCTCTCTCTCTTTCTCCTTCTTCTTTTTCGTTTTTCCTCTAACAATAGAAGGACGTATATAAGGAAACCAAAACTCTATCTCTAGCTTAACTTTCTAATTAGAATAAGATTCAAACTCCTAACATGATGGAACCCAAACTCCTAATCATGATAGATCACTAAGCCTATCTAATTCTCATGAAGTTCTACAGAAAATTAAAAACACTATACCCAACAGTTACCTGCAAAACCTCCAAAGTTAAAAGGGTTTGTTTTTTAAATTAACCCCAATTAGTTATCTAACATATCTTTTATAATTATTGGGGTAAATTACACTATAGCCCTGTGAACTTTCAGCATTTTGTAGTAAACCACTATGAACGGTTAAAATTATACTAAAGTCCCAATAACTTTTGCAAAGACCCCCTCATATCATTTGGGTAATTTACATTAAACTCAAATAACTTTCAAAATGCCTTTTTATATTATTTTTTAGTTCTAATTTATGTGCGTTATCTGCACAAATGTAGAAACTTTTTTGGCTTTTCTACAAATTAGAGAAGTTAATGGTTTTTGTTAGGTTTAGGGGGTGGGGTGTCAGTGTGATTTCGAAAGTTCATTTGAGTTTAGTGCAAAACGCCGGAAGTTAATTGGGATTTAGTGTAAGGCTAAATTTCTCATGGATGTTAGTCAACTAGAACATTTTTGATAGAAGTGGAACACTTTTTAGTATGAGATAATTTTTTAATGTGGGATATTTTAGTGGGATAATTGGGAGTAATTTTTTTTAAAACATGATATTTAGTAGGACAATTGTTAGTATAATTAAGAATAATTTTTAGAAATCAATAAGCATATAAGTCATGTATTTTGATGATAAGACTACTATTTATACATTTTAAAACTTATTATTATTATTAATTATTTACTTTGGTGTTAATGAATCTTAAAGAACTATTAGATAGACTATAAGATATTATTATATTATTATTTGTAACTTTTTGATTTTTTGTAATTATTATTGTAATATAAATTAAAAGAACTAGTTTTTCCTTTTTTTCCTTTCTTTTTCGATATATCAGACATCATTCCTTCGTCTCTCAATTTTAATTAATGTTTAATAAAACATGAATTTTATAATTTCTAAATTTAAATTAATTATACAATTAAAGTATTTATAAAAATAAAAAATAACATTAAATAGAATGGGACAATAAGAAGAGATGTGATCTAATTTTATGGTGTGGCTTGAAGATAATGGAGAAATAAATAGGATAATTTGTAGGATAAAATTTTGTAGTGTTAGTCAACTAGAACTAAAACTAGAATAAAATTTTACAGTGCTAGTCAATTAGAACTCCAACAAATTAGAACTAGTATACTTATATAAAATTATCCTATTTTTTATTTTTCTATAAAAAAAATAGTTCTAGTCTCTCAAATTATCCTATATTTTAGCTTGAAACTAGATGGTAAAAACTAGAACTCATATTTATTTTATTATTTTTTATTTTTTATATTTTTTTTTTCTTTACTTCTTTTCTACTATGTTTATTATCATCATTAGACCATGCTATCGGATCAGATCTCGTCTCCTCTTAGTCATCTCTGATATTTTCTTATTTATCAAATATTATAATTATATAATTAATTTAAAAGTAAAAGTTGTATCAATTCATAATTTATTAAGCAATAAAATTGAGAGATGAGGAAAAGACATCTTGGGGAGAGAAAAAAAGGAAGGAAAATGTGAAAAACTTTTTCTTAGACTTATACTGCAATAATAATTAAAAAATAAAAATGATACAACATATATTATAATAATAATTGTCAACATCTTATATTCTAACCAAAAGTTATTTAATAGTAAATAACATTCTCATAAACAATTATCAATCAAAAATAGTAAGTTTAAAATATAAATACATAAATATATACTTCATGGTTATAAAAATTTAACTCACTTTATTTTATCAAAATATTCCACTTCATAAAATTATTCTTATTTATCCTACTAAAATATCCCACTGTCAAAAAATTATTCCACTTTAACGTTACCCCACTTCGCACGAAATGTCCAAATTGACTAACAGCCCTGAAAAATAAAAAAATAAAAAAGAAAGTTCTAGTTTTTTACCATGTAATTCTAGCTTAGAACTTGGGACAATTAATTTGAGAGACTTGAACTCTCTCTTTTCTATATAAATTTGACAAAAGTGAGATGAATTTTTATAATTATCCCAATTCTATTTATTTATCTAGTTCTTATTGACTAATACTGTATAATTTTATCTTAGTTATAGTTGCAATGGACTAACACTCTATTTATCCCACAAGTTATTCCAATTCTAATTTTAAGTTCTACTTGACTACCGCTAGTAACCTAGCAGAGGCAAAATCACTAACTCTTTAGATTGTTTAAATATATAAACATCCCAAACATCATAAACAACCCATCAAAAGTATACCTCAATAAAAGCATGGGCCACATGGATAAATAACAAAAAGTACATTCGATAGTCATGTGAATCAGACACCAATAATTATGCTTATCATGCTATGGGATTCTTTAATTATCTATTTATTCCGCTCAAAAGTCTAATCCTTTTTTTTAATGTTATCTATCTAATATTTCCAGTCATTAATGATAAACTGTGAGTTTGGCAACTCCAACATTAGACCATTTTTTTACCTAAATCAGTTTAGTTTCGGAGCAGGAGAAAATGATACAAAACAAAATCAGAATGAGTAAAGAAACTAAGAAAACCAATTTAAGTCCTTAACCTTTTTTTTTTTGGCCAGACAAGTGTCAAGACTTAATTTGATTTTGTTACACTCAATTGATTTAAAGTTGGAACGGTTAATGAGACCCCTAATTCTCATTAGGGCATCGTCGTGGCAATGAAATCTGACAAGGATGCTCAAGCAACTCATATCGAATAATAACATATATATTTATGTAATACACAAAAGATTTATTTTAAGATCTTATACCCTTTCTGCCTTTCATAAATAAAACCCCTTTCAATTTTTTAATTTTAATTTAGGAGATTTTTTTTAAAGACGGGTTCTAAAACATAATAAACATCATCAAGGCTGGTCAAAAAGAGATCGATTTAAAAAAAAATCATCTTTAAAATACATGGGACTAGTGTAATTAGTCTCGTTACTTAAAACTTTCAACCAGCGCTCTTTCCTCCAACCTTCCTCTTCATCTCTATCCTCTCTCATCTGATTCGCCCTCGACCACCGCCTTAGGTCGCCCTCGACCACCGTCCTAGGCCACCCTCTACCCTCGCCTTTGAGGCTCCCTCGACCACCGTCCTCGACCACCACCCTTACCCTATCGTCCTCGAGGCTCCCTCGACCACTGCCCTCAAGACCACTCTCAACAACTACCCCCCTCCCCCTCGAGGCTCCCTCAACCACCACCCTCGCCCTTTGATCCTAGCCCTTGACCACTGTCCTCGAGGCCACCCTCACCTTCGCCCTCGAGGCTCCCTCGAGCACCGCCCTCGAGGCCACCTTCAACCACCGCCCTCGCTCTCGAGGCTCCCTCGACCTTCGACCACTACCCTCGATCTTCGACCACCGCCCTAGAGGAGATTGAGGAGAAGAGGAGGCAGGAGATCTAGAAGAGGGGTGATGGTGGCTGAGATTAAAAAAAAAGGGAATGAATACACGAGACTATTAGTCCCGTGTATATTTTGAGCCTAATCAGTTTCATAAGAGTTTTGCTACAAGGACCCAAAACATGGGACCAATAGGGGGGACAAGTGAGGTGTCCACCTCCTATTAGATAATGAGTTGGCCATCATTAATGATGACCAACTCACTATCCAATAGGAGGGGAACACCTCACTTATCCCCCCTATTGGTCTCATATTTTGGGTTCCTGAGGAATTTTTTATTTCATAATTAGCAATTACTTGATGGCCAACTCATTATCTAATAGGAGGTGGACACATCACTTGTCCCCCCTATTGGTCTCATATTTTGGGTTCTTGAGGAATTTTCCGTTTCATAATTAGCAATTGCTAATTACACGGGACTAGTAGTCCCGTATATTTTAAAGATGATTTTTTTCAAATCGATCTCTTTTTTGCCAGCTTTGATGACATAGCCAAAAAAAGGTTGATTCGGCTCATTATTTAGGAAAATTGTTGATTTTGCTAATTATATTTTCAAAACGGCCTTTTTCAAAAAATTCTCCTTTAATTTAACATCCTCCATACCTTACATAAAAGTAAAACTAAAGCCAGCAAGCTCGTCAACGCGAAAGGTCCTTGAGTATAATTCACGCCACACTGGCCGTCGCCTTCTTCCACCATCTTTCCTATATAAAAAGAACCTTTGCTTCTCTCCTCTCTCTCTCTCTCTCTCTCTCTCTCTCTCTCTCTTTTATACGATTATTGCAAAAACTTATTATATATAAGGTAAATGAAGGGATGAACCTTTGCTAGCTCTTGTTTCTGACTTAATTAAGCCGAAAATCTCCTAAGCAATGGAGAAGCTTACAAGATTGCCACCGGGCTTTAGGTTCCGTCCTACCGATGAAGAGCTTGTGGTACAATACCTCAAGAGGAAGGCCACGTCATCCCCTCTGCCGGCTGCCATCATTCCCGAGATCGTTCTCGGGAATCATGATCCCTGGGATTTGCCCGGTCAGAATACTAGTCATACTTGTTTGTAGCATAGTCGTTCTGAATTTACTACTCCTCTAGTTTTATTTTTACGAGGACTACTCGTATTAAAATTTTTGTGACTCTTTTACCCTAGGAGGTCTATCAAAAAAAGTTTCGTTTACTCTTGAGGCTAAAAGAGTTAGAAAATTTCCTGTCAGGGGATCTATTCACAGTTAATTCCAAGGTTTTTTGCTTGCCTAATTAAAAACTTAATGATACGTAACATCATAAATTTAGGTTGCTTTGAAGGAGAGAAGTACTTCTTCAACCTCCAAGAGGCGAGATACCGAAACGGTAATCGATCAAATAGAGCAACGAGGTCAGGGTACTGGAAGGCAACAGGAAGAGAGCAAGCCATATTGTGCTCAAAGAGGAATGTGATTGTTGGGATGAAGAAGGTTCTTGCGTTTCATCAAGTGAGGTATCCTGGTGGAGCTAGAACTCATTGGTTCATGCACGAGTATCGCCTTGTTGATCATGAAATCATGGCTTCAACCCATATTAAGAACCCAACCAAGGTGAGATTTTTGCAACCTTATATATTGAAGCATAATTAATTATGTGTCTTATTACTTTCAAGACTTGGCTTTTACTTAACAAGGGTTAATTGAATATACACTCTATGGTAATACATGCAGTGAAGAAACCTAGTCATTTATTATCTCTGATCAGTTATCTATGCCTTGTCACCTGAGTGTTATATATGTGACTTCAGAGAGAGAAACCATATGATTTTCCACTGTATTTGTACACATGTAGTAGTATATGTACAACTACCAAAAAGTTGGTTACATTTTGAGATCATGGGATTTTAAGCAATGAGAATAGGATCTAGAGCTATACTTAACAAGTGACTAATTTGTGATTAACTCTTTATTAATAAACTAAATAGTGAATTTGGTTATCCTTATTGTCTAGTAAAGCAAGAAAGAGTTCCAATACAAGTTTGCTATTGACTAGTATGCTTAATGGTGTATGGTATGAAGTGGGGTTAGGATGGTAGTATGTCCAAAAGATTTTCTTTTAATGTATTGGATTCTTAAATAGTCTTAATGTGGATGTTGAGATGTCCACCACATTTGGTATGACACCATAGGCTCTCATTTTCACTATTTATAATGGATGGTCCAATATACCATCTCAACTATACAATACTTTAATTTGTGGACCACTAAAGTATTTTCAAAATAGAAAAAAAAACGCAATATACATAAAATATGATATTAGCTACTCTATAGTGAGTTATAATTGACCTTTTTTAGGGGTTAAAATTGGTGCGTTGGACCATCCTTTACCAAATGACACAAATGAGAGGATCAAAATTTATTAAAAAAAAATATGCATGTATGTATCTGTATGTGTATGATGTTATCAAATAATTAACACTCCTGTTGCATTGTTTTATATAACATCGTTTATCTTTGCTTTCACGTAGAGCCCTTTGTTTCAAGACCATAATTGGGTGGTATGTCACATTTTTGTGAAGAAGAAAGCCTCAAGAATAAATGAAGATATGTCACAATACTATGACAACTTGCAAGCTAGAAACAACGATGTCGTGTTCGTGGAGATGAATCATATGATGGGTGGTGATTCTGGCTCTCAATCCCCTACTTCTAGTTGTATCACTGATTTATCCGATGAAGAATGTAGCAAAGTAGAGGAAGCAAATAGCAATTTAATTGCTTCTTCTCCATAATTTGCTTCTTTGTCTATTTTCTCCTTTGATCAAAAATTATATCTGTCTCGGGAAAATCCCTCTTGAATAATTTTGAGATATATATAATTGTTCCTTTTAGCAAAATCAAAATCATGAAATTAAGCTAAATTCATAATTCTACAACCTAATTGTGAACTTTTTTCTTTCTAGTTTGTGCTTTAATTTGAGGGTGAAAGGATTTAATTTGGGAATAATGTCATACATGGTACAACAAGTCAACAAGACAGCTCTGCAAATATGAAATAAAAGCAGAGTTAATTTGATTGCTATATATCCCTCCAAAGGGTTATTTTCACTTTAATACTTTTTTTTTTAAATCTCTCTCTCTCTCTCTCTCTCTCTCTCTCTCATTATTTTCACTTTAATACTTTTTTTTTTAAATCTCTCTCTCTCTCTCTCTCTCTCTCTCTCTCTCTCTCTCTCTCTCTCTCTCTCTCTCTCTCTCTCTCTCTCTCTCTCTCTCTCTCTCTCTTTTTCATTTTTTGTAGCTTGAAATTTAAATCAGTCAAAATGATACCCTAAAGTTTAGCTATTTTACACTTTGCTATCTTCCATTAGTTGACTGTTAGAAGCTCTGTTACAATTAGATTACTGGCTATCAGAAGATTAGCACATGATTATATTTGGACATTTTCCCATCCTTGTTTCAGAAAGAATACTTCTTAATCCCCTTATTATTCTCTTATATTTAAATGGTTACGAAAGAATATAAATGTCATCTCAGTTTCTGATTTTACGTTAAAAGTGTTAATTGTCTCTTAAAAAATTCAGGACATCTCTTGAGCTAACTCAAAAGCTCCTTTGTACTAAAGTAAAAAAGAGAATAAAATTTTGAGATATTACTGTGAAAATAACCAATATATGATAGTAAGAATATTGTCAGAACTAACCCCCCTCCTAAATATAACAATATCCCACATTGCTATCTTTGTTGTATCGTATTGAGAACATATCCTAAAGCATAAAGTAGGACATGTGAAAGGTTAATCTAAAAGAGGCATAGTTTTTAATAGAAACAAAGAGAATCCAAGGTAAAATCACAGATGGGAGAAACTTTGGGGTACTAAAGTGAAAGTAACTCTTCCTCAATATTACCCACGTGATCTCAGACATAACAAAATCTATCCCTCTGTAATTTGCGTTATGAGAACACATCCTAAAGCACAAAGTAGTAGGCAAATTAAGTAAGAACTTTGCAGGGTAAAACTAAAAGAGGTATAGTTTTAATAGAAGGGCATAGAATCCAATGCAAAGGAGGAAGACAAGATAATGTTCGAGTGGTTGGGTATTTTGAAAGAGATGCCTTTAGGCATTACATGCGTGGGTCCCTTGACAGAAAACTAGATTGAGACAGCTAAATCTGGACAAGATTTCATTTGGAAATTTTGAGAGGAGATCACATCAACTAAGACTCTTCGAACACTTCAGATCTTATATATTGGCGAGAGAGATTTATCTTGACCTGGGCTTTTTGTTGTTTCTTTTTTTTAGGCAAAATAGGGCAAGTTGCCCTATCAATGTCTGTATTTACACTGTAAATACCAAAAAATTACACAAAAATGGATATCTAGTAGTGATTTGCATAGAATCCCCAAACTGCTAGGGAAGACTGACGAAATCATTCATAGATATCCCTGGATATATACAAAGAAGAGGGGTAAATAGTAGCGGGCCAAACCAAAACAATATTAATAGTAACAAAAGTTAGTCCAAAATGAGCAGAATGGAGGATGTGTCTGCTGTCGAGAGCTGAAAATGGAGTCATAAACCTCCATTGTTGTCTTTGCTTGAAGAAATAAGATCTGAGAAGTCTTTCTCCCGAATGAGATTTTTCAGCTTAAGAGCCTTCCTGGATGTGGTTGCACCTGTCCAGAAAATTAAATAGTGAGCCGCCTTGGAGATGAGTTGTTGAGGGGTGGAGACTGTTTCTATGAATATAAGGTTATTTCATGCTCTCCAAAAGACCCAGCAAATGGAGGGGAAGCAAAGACCCCAAAGTTGTCGCGTTGAGGTTGGAATAGATCCATCAATGCATGTACTAAAGCACTGCTAGATACGTAGAGGAAGGGATGCAATGAAAATTTTGGGGAGGAATGGAGCCCAAACTTGTTTGGCGATTTAGCAGGAGAGAAAGAGGTGGTCATGGGATTCCTGGTTGCTGCAAAAAGAACAGGATGGATCGCCTGCCCAGCCTTGCTTAGTGAGCATATCCTTAGTCTTTAGCTTAGCCATGGATAATAGCCATATGAAGAACCTGACTCTACTAAGCAGCTGGTTGTTCTAGATTATAGAGTAATGGGGATTACGAGTGCCTCCGTCAGATAATATGGAGTAGAGGGATTTGACTATGAATGTCCTTGAGATACTAAGGGGCCATAGGACCTTGTCAGAGATGTTAGAGAGACGGAAGTTGCTAGATGTTAACAGCTGCTTTAGAGCTAGGACTTGCTCTCTTTCATTGTCATGAATTGGCTTCCTGATGATGGGTCTCCAACACCAATAGTCCCCTTGAAATCTCCCTTGAGATTCAATGGTGATGTGCTTAAAGAAGGCAAGGTTGTATGCTAGAGGGAAGAGACTAGCCAGAGAGTTATCTCCTATCCACTTGTCCTCCCAAAAGAGGATCTTGTGACCATTACCTAGTGTAGGTGTAAATTTTGATCTCCCGAAAACAGAGAACTTCGTTTGTATTAATAAGAATAGTTTATTACAAACTAATTAATCGAACTTACAACAGAAGCAGAGGGAATGCCCTCCTTGTTTAAATGTGGGGACTTTCGGTAGCTACAGGATGCTTCGCTCGATTCTCGCACCGAGTCTGTTTCCCTTGGACGGTTCGATCGAGGTCGCTGGCGAACTTCAGTACACGGTAGGGGCTCGGGTTGATGGAGTTCGGATCTCCTAGTTCGACGGCGATCAGGGATCGGAACTAGAAGAGGATGCTGCAGTGCAAGGGTTATGCAAAGAGCTTGTTGTCGACCCGATCGGGGGTCGAGAGCTAGTGGTTCGGTTAACTGATGGGATTAATCAATTAACTATGGGCGAGCTGCTGAACGTTGGATCGTTCTACGCTGAATGCTCCACACTTTCGAACCCTTCCAACCTTTTTCAACCGGCCTCTTTATTGTGGCTGGAAGAAGCTCCTAAATAGAGGAGAGACGGCTTGGTCGCTCCTTGAATCATGGGATGTGACCATGTACTATTGAGAGGTATCTTGCTGCTCACCTGTACTATGAGCGGTCATTCGAGGTGCTATGTTTCACATCACGTCACGTAGGAGTGAAAATGCCTTTCCTCGTATGTGAGACAGCGGCTGCCCAATACTTGAGTGCGTTTGTCCAGATCGCCGAATGCCGGCGAATCCTGACCTTGACTAGGACAGGCGAGATGAACTGTATTTATGAGGGTGCAGGTTGATCTGGCATCTGTCTGATCACTCGTAGTGTGGGCGGCTACTCGACGGGCTTAGAATACTGTGCTCTCTCCCTTTACATCACGAGAAGTGGGAAAATAGGTGCCCAGTACTCGAGTGGGTTTGGACAGCTCGCTGAGTGCCGACGGGTCTAGCTCTCGATTCGGACGGGCGAAGTGAACTGCATTTATGAGTGCGCAGGCTGATTTGGCGCCTGTCCGATCACTCGTACTGTGGGCGGTCACTCGACGGGCTTGGAGTACCGTGCTCCCTCCCTTCACATCACGGGAAGTGGGGAAAGCCCGTCCTTGTATGCGGTGGAAAGGCCGTAGGGTATGAATTTGGCTCTCGACTCGTGCAGGCGAGTCAAGTAAGCGGGCGAATTCGGATGATCTTGGCTCATGCAGGCGAGTAGGTCATACAGGCGAATCTGGATGACTTTGGCTTATGAGGGCGAGCCTACCATACCGGCGAATCTAGGCGACTTTGGCTCATGAGGGCGAATTATGGGGTTTGTGCGGTTTAGGCTCGCGCCAGCGAGCCCAACCCGTGGCTGTGGTTCGCCCTTCACCTAGGTGGGCGATTTTGATTCGCGGGGGATTCATGTATAAGTTCGTGGCGGTAATTTTTACCCTCTACACCTAGATGCCACTTGACTATGTATGAAAAGTACTGGTAGCCTGAATGAACGTCTTTCCAGAATTTGGAGTATTGGTTACTAGGAGGTGAGCTATGAGGGTTGGATGAGTATATATATTGAAGAACCTGACCTACATGGTTATCCATATCGAAGTATTTCCATAGCCATTTGGACAAAAGGGAAGTGTTAAAGAGATGGAGGTTGGAGATACCCAGGCCTCCGCACGGTTTAAGCATACAGACTTTTTCCCATTTAACCAAAGATTTGCCTCTGGCATTAGAAGAGTTGGCCCACAAAGGAAGTTGTGTCTGATTCTGTCTATGGCCTTGATGAGCCAACTAGAGAGTTTAAAGAAGGACATGTAGTATAGTGGTAGGAAGGATAGAACTGAGTTGAGGAGCACCAGGCGGCCACCAAAACAGAGTTGCTTGCTTTTCCAAAGAGAAAGTTTGCGATAGAAGGAATCCAGCAGGGGTTGCCAATCAGTTTTAGAAAGAGGTCCTTTCTTAAGGGGGAGACCTAGGTATCTGAATAGAGGGGTGTTTGCGTAGAAAATTGTGTTCTTTATTGTATAACTCATTACAACTTTGATCGTTACAATAAGTTCAAAAAGATCGGTCTTTTTATAATCGTTACAATAAGTTCAAAAAGATCGGTCTTTTTATAAGACTCTTTACACAATGAAAGAAATAAAAATTATAACTCTATCAAACAAACAAAGATCGGTCTTTTTATAAGACTCTTTACACAATGAAAGAAATAAAAATTATAACTCTATCAAACAAACGCAGAGAGATTATTTATCGATCTTCTGTTTATGCGGGATCTTTGCCTGTGCCGGGGACGTTAATATCCATGGACCACCTTTGATCTGGATCCGGTTGATGGAAAATTCGGTAGGGCTTCGTCTTCGCCGATGAAGTATTTGATTTGAAGCACTGAGTTTGACCAAGTGAAATCAGTACTCTTCTCGAGATTAAGACCAAGCCTAATCTCA